GCATGTACATTATCTTTCTTTCTGCAAAGAACAGGGTCCAATAAATGCTGCTAGTACATGCAAGTGCACTACATTGCAACCCAAATGACAATTCTAAATTAGCTTGCCTCCTAATTCTTCAAACACTCACGAATATTTAGCAAATATTTTTCAATTGCGGAATCACATGTAATGTTGGACGCAGCACTATGAGTTTTGTAAACACCAGCTGTTTGGTACAGTAGTAACTTGCTTAATGCAAGCAGCCAAAGGAATATCATGTTTGATATTATCTCCTGTTTTTTGGATGTACATTAGCATCATATTGGCTCTGAAATTCATAGACCACATCAATCATTTGAGAGATAGGCAGAGAGTTTTTTGGCTTGACAGCAGCATCCTGTTGTTGGCAAATATCACTCAGGTTCCTTAATACTAGTAGCTTGAAACTGTTGCTTAAATTTTTGACATACAGTCGAAAATAAACTGGACATTTTATTTGACAATGTTGTTTTGCTCTTATTTTGGTCATTCCTGCAAGTTGTCCTGATGAGTACAAGATGATAAGCTTGGACAAAATGTGTCTTTTATCAGCCAGATTCTGTATTTATTTTGTTTTGCATCTAGTTATTATTAATCCTCATCATATATAGTGGATATGATTGCATGAATTGAATGTTTACACTATGCACACCATTGACATAATGATGAAACTTCTAATTATTCCAAGCCCAGCTTATACCAGAACTGTTCTCAGATTTGTCTTTCCTAAGCTTATGCAGGTGTTGTTCTTCCCCATTTCCACTTACCCCCGATACATTGACAGGAAGCTCTGAATAAATAAGCCTCCATTTGCAAAAGATATATCACAAATCAATTAATATTAAAAACTATGTAGATCTCACTGTGTCACTCAGTGTAATTAGATAGATTAATACAGCAATTGGAACCCTTTTATTCCCAGAACCATCCTAATTCTGTGAAAACTGGATGAGAATCAGCAGCACTTCTGGTTCAATATGCAGGGTATTTGTGAACAGTCCATACCAGGAAAGGTTAGGCACATGACCACAAGTTTGCGTCACTGGGACATACAAACTACAGAGACTGGTAAGTTTGAGGCAATTAGGATGAACGTATTTTATCAATTCACTTTAAAGGAATCATTCCCATTCACTTATTTGCTGGCTTTTTCACAGAACAACACGACAGAAAGGAAAAGCAACTGGAATTTACATAGTGTCAATCATACCTTAAAACTACTCCCAAGCACTTCAGAACCACAGAAGCATCTTTAAGGGGCTGTCACTATTACAATGAAGCAGTCAAATAAAATCTGGATAAACAAATGAGGGAAGAAGGGAATAGAGGACCATGTTGATTCAATGACAAGAGGAAAGGTGGGAGGAAACTCAGGTAGACCACAAACATCAGCAGAGACTGATTAGTTAGAGTGAACAGCTTCTGTGCTCAATATTCCACTGAATTCTACGTAACACAGCAAGCAAACAAAGCAAAGAGCTTTAGCTTGCCCACTTTCCAAGATGATTCGATAGCGGTGATATTGTACAACAAAGGAAATTGTGAAGGATGGAGATATGAAACAAGTATCATTTCTTTCCAGGAAAGGTATATTTAGAAGCACAACATAAGAACTCAGCCCAATGGTATCAATGTGGACTTCACAAGCTTCAAAATCTCCCCGCCCCAACCGCATCCCAAAACCAGCCCAGCTCGTCCCCGCCTCCCTGACCTGTCCATCCTTTCTCCCACCTATCCACTCCTCCCACCTCAACCCCCACGCCCATCTCCGACCTACCAGCCTCATCCCCGCCTCCTTGACCTGTCCGTCTTCCCTTGACTGACCTACCGCCATCCTAACTCCCCACCTACACTCACTTTTACTGGCTCCATCCCCGCCTCCTTGACCTGTCCATTTCCTCTCCACCTATCTGCTCCTTTATCCATCTTCCAACCGCCTCCCCCTCTCTCCCTATTTATTTCAGAATCCCCTTCCCCTCCCCCATTTCTGAAGAAGGGTCCAGACCCGAAACGTCAGCTTTCCTGCTCCTCTGATGTTGCTTGGCCTGCTGTGTTCATCCAGCTCTACACCTTGTTATCTCGTAAGAACTCTGGGAATGGCTTTCAATGAATTCTGAAACATTGGGCCAGATTTTCAGAGAGTGGCATTCTCACTCAGGTCGCCACTCTGTCCTTTCTTTTCAGTGACAAAAGGGAGCTCCACACGTCTGTCAGGAGATTCTGCTCAGAGCTCCCTCAGAAATGCAGAGCTTTAATTCCATTATGGCAGTTCTCTCATCAGCTCAGGATCGAGTTTGTAATGTCGTATCAAAGAGGCTCATTTGTTCTTCAGCCAGCAGTCGGAGCGTTACACAGGAAGAAAAAGTGACCCAGTTAAAGCAGAGTGCTGGGCAACCAAATTGTTTTGAGGTTGCATCACATCTCACTACACTGATCCAGATTTAATTAACTGGATTAAGATTAAAGAGGGATTTGCTTGAACGGAAAGTGTTCTGGGACACTGAAAACATTTCTAATGAGAACAGTTTGCATGCAAAGGATGACTGATGTAATGCTTTGAGTAAATAAGGCGGTTCCGGCAGCTTACCTTAAACTCCAGCCTGTCCTGATTTTATCACTCATATCAACACAAACATCTTAGAAATTGCGCTTTCTTCCTAATGCACTGCATGATGAAAATGTTTATAGTAAAATATCATTATCTAAGAACTTGGGTTCTTAAGCAAAAGTACATAGGATTTTGCTCTTTGCTTCTGTGACATAGGTGCCTTGTTTTGAAAGATTAGAATTTATTTTTATTAAGCATGGGTCAAAACAGCTGTTCCAAGAAATAATTTAAACTAAATACCCAAGTAAACCTCCTGGTGAAGTCTTTACAAATTTAAGATTTACAACCCATAAAGAGAGAGACAGACAGATAAGGGAGGGTGAGGGGTACACATATGACCAGTTCAGAAAGGAGCCAGACCAGCGAAATAGCTGCTTAGTTTTGGTACTTTCCAGGTCAGAGATCCACAATGAGCTATCAAGGCTTGGTCATTAAGTATATGCAAGGCTGAGATGGCCAGATTTTTAATTAGTAGGGAAAATCAAGGGTTATACGGGAAAGGCAGGAAAGTTGAGTGCAGGATTATCAGATTAGCCGTGGTCTCCTTGAATGGCAGAGCTGACTCGAAGGACTGAATGGCCTACATCTTCTCCTATCTTATGGTCTGAAGTTATTTCAGTAGCTCAAGCAAATAGGGCTGGGAAAAGCCCTGAGTTCTTTTGTAGGATTCAGTGAGTGAACTTGTGTCTGTGTGTCTTAGGTGGAAATGGTAACAAAGAGAACCTCATCTGGTAAATGTGCAGACATTCACTGAAAGTAAACTGCCCATGATCTTGTCAGTTGAGTAAGAAATTGTACAGTGAAGAACAGGAGTAATACTTCACTGAGACTAATAGCCTATAAAAGGATACTATTGGGGAAAAAAAAATGAAGTTTTATTTTTGCTGTTTACGACAAGATTGTTCCAAATTGTCTTCTATATATAACCATTTTTGTGATAAACCTATGTTCATGTGAAAAGTATATTAGACTGACCATCACCGTAAGCAAACAACAAATAAAAAAGTTAGTCTATCAAACTAGGTTTCACTCTGGAATTCGACTTTACTAATATTATAATCATCTGGAATGATAATTGTTATAATCTTTTCATATTTTCTTCACTGTTATCTCCAAATCCTGGTCACAGCCATTTGAAAGTTGAAAGGACACCACTTTCTTCAGATATTTGAGTCTTGAAAGCACTTCATTTCAATGGATTTAGATGAACTGGGTGAACTAAACCAAACTCAACAAAACATCATTTATACCTTTCACAAATAGAATGCGAATTTCCAAACCAATGCAAGATACAGTCTGCCCTTGATACTGAAAATATGCATTGGATTATCCAATAGTGATATCACATAATACAGCAAAATGAGCATTTTGCATTAAGAATGGGTCATATACTTTGAACAGAGTAAACATAATAACACTGTCAGACCTTACCTTGGTGTTTCACAATATTTTCCCACTGTAGCCCTATTTCAAGGCTTGAGAACTATTATAACCCCTCAATAAGAACTGTGAGAGCACGGGCCCTTTAGAGCACAAACCTGGCAGTTGTAGCTTGATCAGTCTCCTTGGTGGGTATTACTGCCTTGGATCTCACAAGCTCACTTGGGTCCTGATCCCCATTTTGGGAAGCCCTGTCTTAACTATTCTTGTCCTTGGACTACTAGTCCTTTATAATTGCTGATAGAAAACTCAACTGTGTAAAAGATCTACGTTTCACGATTTCTTCAAACTACACCAGACATGCATTCCTGAGAAAAGATTGGAGGAGAGAAAATACCTCATGTTTAAAGAAAATTAATTTGTTCTGACTAGTAACCCCTGCCACTTGATTTTTTTTTAAATTAGAAACTCATAGCACAGGGAACTGTGTAGACAGCTCATCAATGTTGTCTCAAAAGATATGCAGAAATCTGGCAGGGTCAGATGGTCTCCAGCCAGTTTCCATCTTCCCATCGCTGCCAACCACTGGACCCCAACACCCAACAGTGCTAACGGAGGAGCCCTTGAAAACAATTTTAAAAATTACTGAATTTCTAAAGGTTTTCTGTGGAAAACTAATTAATAGAGTTACTTTAAAAGATTTTTTAAAAATGTATAGAATTTGCAAGGTTTGCAGGTTTATTCTAATATAGTCACGGAGTTAATATTCTCAATAATGTATTCCAGCTAGGTTTAACTAATGTCACCACCATATAGGAAGCAAAACTACTTGAATTATTTAAAAGTAAAGCAGAAGCACGATTTATATTATCTTCATATGTCAATATACATTATGTTGGTCTAAACTAGCCACTTAAAAATGAGCTAAATGGATTTCAAAACTGCACAATGCAGATTCATATTCTTAGAACTCCATCATTAATTTTCTTACCTCATTACAAAGGTAATTCAGGGTACTGAAGTCCCATTTCTTGGCATATCCTGCATTATACTTCAGTATTGCATCCTTTACAAAACAAAAGAACAATTTCCAAACAGTGGTTATTTGCTTGATTTTATTCAACGAATCCATTCTGCAAGTCACCAATGCCACAGCTATGCCTGAATTAGACAGGTTGGTCCAATCAGCCTGGAATACTGAGCCGAACACATAAAACAAGGCAAAAATCAGCAGTTCAGTTTATAAAAGATTGGTAAAATCAAACAGAAAGCAATAATAGCTGAAAATGGTTGAACTTTAAAACAGAATGGTCTCCACCCATCAGTAAGTTCCAGAAAAAAAAAAAAGAGGGGGCCAACTCGGATTGAAAAGATCAGGAGCAGAGAAGGAGAAAGTATAGAAAATTCTAAGTTTATGTTTTTAAAAACAGCAGTTAAAAATTGTAATTGTGACTAAAAGTTGACAAAAGTGAAAATACACTCTCATGATCTGTCTCTGGTGCACTGTTGCATACTGAAACAATAATTTTCTTCCCCTTTTAAATTGACCACCGTAACACAGAAAAATTATTCCGTTTTAGTTTCGTTTTATCTCCACTTACCTTAAGGTCCAATATAAAGTCATGTATAAAGAAAGATCACAGTTTATTCCTTGGCTAGCACTGAGCTTGGGCAGAGAGGCTGCAGCAACACCAGTCAGTCCAGCATCGCTGACTCAAGCAATGGAAAAGCAACAAAAACCATGAGGGCATGGGATGAATTTGATGTGAGGCTCTCCATAGTCAAACTATCAACAATTATCTTCTTTACTGACATGAAAAGAATGGTTATTTAGAATAACACAGCCATGAATGGGTGGCAGAGGAAAGAAACTTCAACATTTAAGAAGTACTTAGACGATCAAGTGAAGCAACATAGCATACGAGACTACATGCCAAGTGCTGGAGAATAGGAGTAGAATAGATGGGTGCTTGATCACTGGCAAAGACACGATGGGCTGAACAGCCTCTTTCTATGCTATAAATCTCTATGACTCTAAACCCTATTCTAAATTTCAATGTCTCTATCAATCATTGCTTAATCTTCTCTACAGAAAAGCAAAGAACCTTGGCTCCTCCAATCTCACCTCTTAACTAAAGTTTTTCATCCTTTACATTAGTTTATTTATTCCTTCGATATGGGTGATGCTGATGAGGTTACATTTATTGCCCAAAGTTAACTGCCCCGGAAGTAGGGTAGAAAGTTTTCTGCTTGAATCCTGACAGTTCTTATGGTGACTGATAGTGAGCCATTTATAGTGAATAAATGAAATTCAGAAATAATGTATGTCAATGAAGAAGAAATGGTGACATATCCCCAGGTTAAAGTGGCTTGTGATGTGGAGGCGGTATCTTCACGACATTATTGTTCTTCTTCTGTAAGCCAAGGTCATGATATAGAACAGTGCTGCTGAACTAAGCTGGGTAAATTTCAAAATTCCAGCCTGCAATTCATATATGCAATGACAGTGTGGTATGATGGAATGGATGAAGGGGGTGAAGACTGAGTTCAATACTTTAAGCAAGGAAACTGCTTTGTCCTGTATGGTGGTCAGCTTTGGATCATTATTATGTTTGCAATTATCCAGTCAGGTGGCAAGTGTTTATATTAGTAAATCTTTTCTCTGTTCTCTTCATAATTTCATAGCTTCCAAAAGTAAGGCTCCAAAAATGGTACAGAATACATTAAACGATTTAACTATGCTTATTTAACATTATCTCCGAGATATATTACCTTAAATCCCCATTTATAAGTCCTAGGATTAAACAGCTTTTCCAACAAGCATTTGCTTCACTGAACACATCAGCCAAACTGGCAACTCACTATGTTGGAATCTCAAACGTAGATATGACAGTTTGAAGTTACGTTAACAAAATGCACCTATTTTCTGGTTACGTAGTCCAACCGTAAAATAATGCCCTCATTATGCTTCACTCCAATACTTTTAAATATTACAGAAAAAAAAACATGCTGTTGAAGCTTTTCATCTTGCACTTGAGGATAGTTTTGCAAGGCTACCAATCATCAGCACTGATCAGCGCAAGATGAAAATCTTTGATACCATGTCTCTGTTTTCTGGCAATAATAAAGTTCTGTACTACAAAGTGATTATTTAGATTATTTTAAATTAACACTGAGAAGCAAGGCCTCAGAAAATTCTTTGCAGATTGTTAACAATTTGTATAGCAATTCATACAATCATATTGCAGGTGGAAGAAACATGACTGTCCCTCCTAATCCTGCTACCTTAAAAATCTATTCAATTACAGTAGTTTCATTTCCCTACCCTGTATATTCCTTTAGCCCTTAGATGACAGCAATTCTATGATTTTGTAATGATGGACTGCATTCACATGAAATGTTAAATTATTCTCTAAATGAAATACTAGAATGCTTCTTCAACACTTCATCAATACTAACATAACTAGGCTATAGTAATGATGACCATACTATTAACCTAGCAACTGCTAAAACGGTGAATGGAGAACTGAAATTTAAAATAAATGATTTAACACTGTGTAACATCCCACAAATGGCCTCAAAAAGTGAAAATGCCACTTCTAGAAGGACATCAGTAGATCTTACTGCTGATAGAAGAGAACTATTCAATTCAAAATACAAATATGTTTAAAAAATTGAATTCCATCAATGTACTTAAAATAAATTATTTAAAAACTCTAACCACCACAACTGATTTGATCTTATTTCATACTGTACCTTCACATCCTCTGAGTTAGTAAACTTTCTCAGCAGCGCTGTTCGAATTAACTCCCATCGACTACTCACGTTCTTGCTTCCATCCTGTAAAGAGAAAACAAATGAATTTTTAGATGTAGTTTATGCTCATAAGCTCTACAGCAAAATCTACACAACATAAAAATTATAATTCAAAAGAGTGACATTACAAATTCTAGACTTCCTTACAAAATACAAAGATTGTTTTATACAATAATCAATTATAAATTAAAAATATTGAGCGAATGCCATAAACATGGCGTTATATCCAATAGCATTACTGTTGCCACATCACCCAGAACCAACATCCTTGATCAAAAATTGAATCAAATCAGCCATCCACATAGCACGACTACAAAGCTGGGAATTCTGCAGTAACTCAGCTCCGGACTCCCCATGCCTGTTCACCATCAACAAACCACAAGTCAGGGATTTGGTGGATACACTCTACTGTCTACATAAATGTAGCTTCTACGCCACTCAAGAAGCACTAAGATAAAGTAGCTTGCTTGATCAGCTGCTGACCAAAGCCACCAGCTTCAAAATTCACTCCATCCACCACTGATACAGTGGCAGTAGTTTGTATCATCCACAAGATGCGCTGCACAGCTCACCATGGTTCCTTCCAAACCTGTAATCTCTTTCACTAACAAGGCAAAGGACACCTCTTGCTTGGAACACAATCACCTGCAACTTCTTCTCTGAGCGACACGTCATCCTTACTTGGAACTATGGCAACATCTAAGGTTTTAGAGTAGATTTGTAGCTCGGATCAATTGGCTACAAAAAGACACGACCAATACTCACACATCTCTATCCACATGGATAAGGAGAACCACCAATTCGACTGGGACAACACCAAGATCCTGGGACAAGCAAAGCAGAGACAAGCACGGGAATTCCTAGAAGCGTGGTACTCCACAAAGAAAGCCATCAACAAACACAAAGAGCTCGACCCCATATACACTCCACTGTGAAGGAAAACCGGAAATGAGGTAATCCAGCTCAACAGACTCCAGAGTTTAAATACCAGGCAGGAAAACATAACGGCGCTTCATCGGAGGCTGCACTGATGATGTTACCCAGCATGGTAATGAAACATCTGTGAAACAACGAACCAGCTTGATCAGCCAACCAACTACAATATGGCAACATCCTTAAGGTGAAACAACAGGAATGCACGAACAGGACTATGGATGCAACTCCAGCAGACAGACAGTAACAGTTCAGCAAAGTGATTCACCACTACCTTTGAAGGAGCAATTAGGGATGGGCAACAAGTGTTGTCCTGGCCAGTGATATCCACTGAGATTAAGAAATGTTTCAAATACGAAGTTGACATTAATTGACAAATTCCAGCTAAACTATCAATTGTGCAGGACCATTATCACCACTAACAAGCTCATTATTCAAGCCAGCATAACATATAAATCACCATTTTCATGTTCCAACATCAGGAACGCAAATGCCAGACACAAGATTCCACTAAGCAAGAGAGACAGTTTACTTCAGGGGACGAAGTTTGGTGTAGGAACCACGGGAATGGCACCCCACAGGTAAGAGGTATAGTTGTCATGAGGTCAGGTCCAGTGATGTATAAAGTTCGGACAGGTGTGACAGTCCTGAACAAGCACATGGCCTGTACAAAAGCTTCTAACGTGCAAACAGTGTAAGAGCAAAACATGCCCGACTCAACAGCCTTTCCGCTTGTTCTAGAACTGGCGAGTTCTCCCTCTTCCGTCAAGTGTTGACGATACTTCAAAATCTGAGACAGACACGGCGTGTGTTGCTGCCTCGGCGCCTGAAGAGGAGAATGAATTTCTTCCAAGATGCTCCTAGTGCAAGGGGCAAGCTACTGGGCATTACAAGCCACCCATATCAGAGGCAGAGTTGGAGGAGCCTGAGCTGGTGCCATGACACCCCAGGAGCAACTACAAAAAAAAATGAGCCAGCCTATGTCCTCTGACTCAGAAAACAACGGATGAGGTGATTGTCAATGAGGTTAGCCAGATTCACCTCACAGAATATGACATCCCTGACTGGGGTTGTTAATCTAGACCAATCAGGGAGTCCTGGCTAACAGAAAAGAACAGGAGCGTCAGAGATTCTGTTCACTCAGACCTGGCCCTGAGGGAGCTAGATCAGCGTCAAGGACTCTCCACGTGTAAGTAGAGGGTGACATGGTGACAGGGTGACAGAATACCAGCTTCTGTGGAGTTATTTCAATTCTCTCCTCTTCTCTTCTTTTTTCTCCCTCTCCTATTTGCACGCTGAAACTTACCAAACAAATATATTGAACATTATAACAGATAAATGAAGAGTACTCAGCACAAACAGTAATATTTACAGTAAATACAAATTTTACTATTTACACCCAAAGTACTAAAAAAGACATTTCTGCTCCAACAATCAACATAAAGCAGACCTTTAAAATGCAGTCTCCTATTTCTTAGATGGTTGCTCATTCCATGGAGTCTTGAGATTAATCACTCCCTGAGAATTCAAGATAACTTTGTCTGTTGCCCAAGATTTAGCTCCAATTTTCCTTTGAATATATCCCAGAAGGAATGTTAAAAACTGTATCTCGCAACGAGTTTAGCTCATCAATGATTAAACTTGTCAGCACAAAAGGAGACCATTAGCCCGATGTGTCTGTGCCGGCTTTCAAGGAACTTTCTAATTAGCCCCATATCACTGCTCTTTCCTTGTAACCATCTAATTATTTTCCTTCAGGTATTCGTTCAGTTCCCTTTCAAAAGTTATTTTATTTTTGAATTTGTTTCCACCACCCTATCAAACAGTATGTTCCAAACCATCATAAGCTCAGAGAAGAAATTCTAATTTGACTTCTGGTTCTTCTGTTATTTACCTTAAATATTTTTCTCCTGTTTCCAATCATTCTCTCATTGGAAACTGTTTCTTAATATGTATGCTATCAAAACCTTTTCATGATTTTGAACTATATTATACTTTCCCTCAGCCTCTTTTGTCCTAAAGCAAACACCATCTTCTCTCCATGTAACTGAAGCTCTATTCCTACTTTGTGTCAACATCACAGCTGGTATCATTCTGCACCATTAATGCTGCCATTCTAGAAAATCTCCTTTGCATCCTCTCCACTTGTTGCACCATCTCTACATCAATTCCACACATCCTAAAGTGTGATCCCCAGGACTGGTTACAATATTTGAATCTTAAACATGTAACCAGTAAGCAAGGATCCTCATGAAGAATTTATGACAGACAAAAAGCTTAATTTGTTTCATGCCAGTATTAGAATAACCAAAGCTGTCATGCAGCAGGAGTACAGATCTACTAGGTGGAGATGTTTCACAAAAGTATTCTATATTCTATTTGAACCACCAGTGACCACATTTAATGCATAACAGTAATACGTAATTTGTGTGTTATGCACTTAAGAAAAATATAGAACAGTGTGGTCTGTACTGTCAAATCACAACAAATAGAAATTAATGAGTTGGTTAGGCATTCTTTCTAACATAAATAAAGCTTTAATTACTGTCCTGATCAAGATAAAGTCCAATATACTTTACTTACACTGATCTTCAAGTGACATATGATAATGCAAGTCAAGAATTGCAATTCCAAATCAAACCATTTAAACTATTTTTTTTTTTACCCTTAGTAGTTTTACAGCACAACTGGTGATCATTTGGTACATTGAAGCCATGCTGGTGGTTTGAAAAAGCTGTCCAATTTGTCCCATATTCCACCATTTTCCCTATAACTCTGTAAATTAGCATTTTCCAATTGCCATGTGTGGGTTACTATGGAATCAGATTCCACAACAATTACCTCTAACAACCATGTTGACAGTCAGAGTTCATAGACTGAAATTAACCAGCAAAAGAACCGAAGGGAAAAAAGAAATCTCTTCATGTGCAGGCTTGTTGCAATTGGGAGCAAAGGACCATACTTGAAGAGATCAAGAATGCCCGATACACTAGTTGTCAGACGTACATGTTTCGCTCGTTATAATCCCTATGGAGACCAATAACTTTAAAAATAAGTTTGAATTTCCAGTCAGTAACTGGAAAAGATGAGACAACAAGATTTAACTTTTTTAAGTATTTTTATCAATTTAAAACAGACAAAAAGCACACAGTACACTCTATTACTTTGTCTACTTAAGCAAAACTATATAACAGAACTTTTACTTTTAAAACATTCAAAAGAAATACATGTTACAGGTACACGTCACATTTTCAATTAAGTCAGGATTCAATTCCTAGAGCAAGTAGAAAGTGATATTTTTTACATCTATTTTTTTCTTTTACCAGCCTGATAACTTTGAAACCCAAAGATTTCTGTCTTCTGTCAAATGTTTTTCATGATAAAGTTTTTTTCTTCCTAGAGAATCAGTCTTTAGGCAAATCTTTCAGCCTTACTTCTATCTCTCTCAAATGTGGTTCTTTCAATTCAACTGCAAGGTTCCACTGGCATTCCTGCATGATAAAGTATGGAGACTTTTGGCCACTAGTACTCATGCGCGCTCCCTCTCCTGGTTCTTGGCAGACTGAATAGAGTTTTCTGAAACACCTTTAGGAAACAATTCCCTATCAAAGCCCTTCACCTTAGTAATTCCATACAAAAAGGCTGATCTGCTATCCTCAAGGCACCAACACTTGTATTTTGGAAGTAAATGAACAGTTTAAAGTATAATTTATTTTTAAAATTCTTCCATGTTATGTGGATATCGCTGGCTGGTCCAGCATTCACTACCTGTACCTAACTGCCCTGGAAAAGGCAGCTGTGAGCATCTTTCTTTGACTACTGTAGTCCTTGGGTTTCGAGATACATGCAGTACAGTTAGGAAAGGAGCTCCAGGATTTTGATGCAGTGACAATGAAAGATGGTGATACAATTCCAAGTCAGGAACGAGCTAGCCAATTGGATACAAAGGAGATGCAGGGTGGTAGTGAAGGAATGTTTTTAGGAGACCTGTGATCAGTGGTGTGCCAGGATCAAGGATCAGTGCTGTGTACACTGCTTTTTGTCACTTATATAAATGATTTGGATGTGAAAATAGGAGTATAGTTAGTAAGTTTGCAGATGACACCAAAATAGGTGGTGCAGTGGACAGTGAAGAAGATCATCTCAGAGTACAATGGGCTGAGGAGTGGCAGATGGAGTTTAATTTAGGTAAATGTTAGGTGCTGCATTTTGGTAAGGAAAACCAGGGCAGGATTTATACATTTAACGGCAGGGTCCTGGAGAGTGCTGCCGAACAAAGAAACCTAGCAGCGCAGGTGCTTAATTCCTTGAAAGTGACACACAGGTAGACAGGGGGGTGAATGTGACATTTGGCACGTTTGCTTTCATTGGTCATAACATTGAATATAGCAGTTGTGATATCATGTTGCAGTTGTACAGGACATTGGTGAGGCCACTTTTGGAATACGGTGTACAAATTCTGGTTGCCCTTCTATAGGAAAGTTTAACATCTTGAGAGGGTGCAGAAAAGACTTACAAGGATGTTGCCGGTGAGTGGAGGGTTTGATCTATAGGGAGAGGCTGAATAGGCTGGGGCTTTTCGACCTGGTGAGTCAGAGACGGAGGGCTGACCTTATAGAGGTTTATAAAAACATGAGGGGCAAGGATAGGGTGAATAGGCAGTCTTTTTCCTAGGGTGGGGAAGTTCAAAACTAGATGAAATAGGTTTAAGGTGAGAGGGGAAAGATTTAAAAAGGACCTAAGGGGTAACTCTTTCACATAGAGGGTGGTATATATATGGAACAAGCTACCAGACGAAGTGGTGAAGGTGGGTACAATTACTACATTTAAAAGGCAACAAGACGGGTTCATGAATAGGAAGGGTTTAGAGGGGTATGGGCCAAATGCTGGCAAATGGGACTAGGTCAGATTGGGATGTCTGGTCAGCATGGATGAGTTGACCCCAAAGGGTCTGTTTCCATGCTGTATGACTCTCTGATTCAATGACTCTAAGTGCCAAATGGATGGCTCATCTTGGCCACAGTGCAGGCCAAATACACGTGTGCAGCTATTCCTGTTGCCGTCTGGTCAACATCAGTAGTTACTGTGCTCAGACAGCTGAAGGTTTGGACGACATTATATAGACACAGAGAGACAATACAATGGAATGATTTGGAAAGAAAGACTAGAATTTTAAAGTTGAACCATTGCCTAGCTTGGAGCCAATGTACACCATATAAATACTCCGTATACAACAGCAGGTCAAAGGCTTGGAATTCTGAGCAAGCAATTTATCACTTGACTCTCCAAAGCCTATCCACCATCTGCAAGGCAAAAGTCAGAAGTGTAATAGAATACTCTCCACTTGCAGTGCAGGTCTAACTACTTGACAGCATCGAAAGCAAAGGCCAATCAAAATCCACATGATTTTGAATACCATTGACTAGATTGATCCTGGGATTGATACAGGATTAGTATTCAGGTCTCCCCTTAACCTTCTTTGACAACCAACACAGTTTCTCTAATTAAAGTGCTAGAGAAACTCAGCAAGTCTCAGTATGCAGCAACTCAGCTTCTCCAATCTCTCCACAAAATTGAACCTTCTCATTCCAGAATCATCTGGTAAAACTTGTCTATACTTTCGTCAGGAGCCTGACACCCTCTCAGAGTGTGGTGTTCAGAATTATACATAATACTCCAGCTAAGGCCTAACCAGTGATTCACAAAAGTCCAGCATGACTTTTATGTTTCTGCTTTCAATGTTCTCATTAACAAACACAAATATCCTTGTGCTTTCTTAACTGCTTTATCAAGTTGCTAGGTACCTTCAAAGATTTATGTATATGTACCCATAAGGCCCTCTACTCTTTTACAACTTCAAAGTAGCAATGCTTAGACTATACTGCCTCTCTAGTTCATTCCTTCTAAAACACAGCACTGCACTTTAAATTCCATCTGCAATCTGTCTGTTAGATGGTATTAGTCTGACTATACTCTCCCAAAGTCTGCAAATAATACATCACTAAATTATAACAGATTTTCTGCAAATTCTGAATTCTCTTCTTGTTATATTTTATTTTTAGCAAAACTTTGAAACATAAGGGGCCAAATGCAAATTAAACAATATTTACAGACATTACCTTGTGATCCAGCCTCTACAGCCCTTTCTGGTAAAGAATTTCACAGGTTTACTACCCTACAGAAAAGAAATTCCTCAATTCTGACTTAAATGAGTGACCTGTAACTCTGAGTTTATGATCTCTGGTCCTAGACTCCCCCGAAGAGAAAATAACCTATCAGCAAACACCTTGTCAAGTCTCTCAAGAATCTTGTGTATCAATAAAGTTACCTTTCACTCTTCTAAACTTCAGTGAATATAGGTCTAACTACTCAACTTCTCTATGCAAGAAAATCCCTGCATACCAATCCTGAGATCAAGCGAGTTAAGGGGACCTTAACTGTTCACAATATTCCAGGTGTGTCTAACTAGTATACTTTATAAGACTTTATAGGCGTATGGGTCTGGGTGGGATGCTCCAAGGGTCGGTGTGGACTTGTTGGGCCGAAGGGCCTGTTTCCACACTATAGGGATTCTATGATTCTATGAAAACCATGAGCTCTTAAATTTTAAATAACATTATGTGCAGTACCTTATCGAATGCCTTTTGAAAATGTAATTATATTATATATACTGTTTCCCCTTTATCCTGTTTGTTCAGTCCTCAAAAGAAAATTGAGGCATTATTTCCCCTTCATAAAGCTATGTTGACTTTGCTTGTCAATATTGTAAATGCTGCGTTTTGTTTGACAATTTTCATCATCTTGCACTAAAACCACCAGACACAGCACTCTGCCAAGATAAACTCCAACTGGCTGTGGTGCAATTAGAGACGACCTTACCACTGTCTGCAGTTGAAGGATCAATCTTGCTTGCAGAATGACATTACAAATGGTTATGGCAGCATGGGTGGCAAACCAATTACTCAAATGATAATTAGGTCCAGGATTATTGTTACAATTTCAACTGAATGCTTGCAAAGCTCTCATGTTAAATTTATCTGCAAATTTTGCAGGTTCAGAACTAGCAAGATATGATTATATACTTTACACATTCAATCTTGTAACCTAACTATCTCAAGGAACTGCAAGCTGCAGAGAAATGAAGAGATATGAAAATCAATCTAACGGGGAAGGGGTGGCATTGTGGAAATATAACTTGACTAATAATCTAGAACCTCAGGCTAATGTTCTGGGCACACAGGTTCGAATCCCACCATACAAAATGGTGAAATTTTAATTCAATCAAAATCTGGAATAAAAAGCTAACCTAATGGTGACCATGTAATCACTGTTAATTGTCATAAAAGTCTTTCTAGTTCACCAATACCCTTTCAGAAATAAAACCTGCTATTCTTACCTGGTTTGGCCTACATGCAACTCGGAGCAATTTGGTTGCCTCTTTATTGCCCTCTAGATAATTAGGGATAGGCAGTAAATGCTTGCCTGGCAAAAAGCTGGCCTAGAAAAAAGTATTTTTTGAGTATGTAACATCCAAGGAAAGTGCATATCAATGTTTAATTACATAAAGCCATCCTTTACCTCATTTTCAACAGGAAAAAGATTTTGAACAGAGCAGGGCATTCTCACATGCTTGTCATCCCAGGCATCATTAAAATATGTGGGATAGGGTCGAGGGACTTCACCGCTTTTCAAAAGGTCTGTCTGCAATACAAGCACAAAAGGTAACTGTAACAATTATATATTTATAGTTGGTTCTCTTATAACGCGTGTTCCGTCAACGCGAATTGGCTGTAACGTGAATGATGAATAGGGGAACACTATTTCTAAAGCCTGAACTTGTGTTGGCTAAACCGTGATTCCATCAGTATGCAGAGGAGTATGCGTCAACTTGATTGTTTCACAGGCTTTGTCATGAATACGTACAATGTTAGCACAGAGAGTGTCTCCGCAATGGTGATCATTTCGCGGGCTTTGTTGTGAAGTGCTGTCTATGACAGGTACAGCACAACTTCCTCCCCCATCAAGTTATCTTGACAGTTTTTCAAGGTAAAATGTTAAATTTACTTCTTTCATTATTAGGTATGAAAGAAACATTTATTCAAATTGTGCTATCATTTGTTATAGGCTTTTGAGTAATTTTTGAGCGATTTTGAGTGATTTTTTTTGGTGGTCTGCCCCTCACCCCATTTTTCGCATAGGTTTCCTTATTTCTAGAAATGGGCAAGGTAGTTTTTGCACATCAAATAGTTCTATACGTCAAAACAAAGTGCCTTTGTTTGATATCCCTAAAACACCAGGAGAAAGGAACATATGAAGCTAATTGAAAAATTGGCCTAAAAACATTTCTTGCTGCAGTTTCTAGTTTATTAGGTGTTGTAATTATTTGGTTTAAAGTCTTTTGAACCATTTTACTAAATCTGTAAATGGTAGCATGAAAATCAACAATTAATTGACAACGAATTTCAGCCTGGTTCAGTTGGATGTCATTATTTGTTTTGTAAAGCAATTTAGGTCTAAGGTGATTTGAGATTGGCATACTCTGGCTATTTTTAAGGATTTGATCTTAAAGCACAGAACTCAGTAATAAGTCCATATTATAAGACACATTTCAAGTATTACTCAGTTGGATAAATTACTGTGCAGCCAAGTTTTCCTAATAAATAACTGTGCTCAATGCGTATATTGCTTGGAAAGAAAAAATTTATTTCAACTTACTCGGATAGTCACTGAGTGATTGCTAGATGCTCTTAAAGGTGGCAAAGCACTGCTGCATTCTGGCATTCGACGCATCTCAACGATTGGAGTTCCAAGCCATGTGATATCCACGGAGTATCTCCCTTGGTAAGTTCTTTTTCCTTCCACGGTAGAATGTCCTCTTCTAAAAGTCAAATATTTTTTAGCATAATAACGCAATCTGCATCGGAAATCTAACAACTAATCTGTAGATCACACGGTGTGACATTTCATTAGTTTCAGAGGATAAAATATCAAATAATTCAAAACTTAATGCCTGAATAGTTTACTCTTTTTAAACACCGATTAACTGCATTGAGTCAAGAAACATAATCCTCCAGGTGAGTTTCATCTGATTTCAACCAATGTTCTGGTTTGTCTTAGAATCAAAAGTTATACAACAAAAAAAAAACTTATTTCACTGAATATCTCAGATGAATAAAGTACATTTGGTATATCCAGAACCTATTCCTTGATTGGTTCAACAGAATGTTCAAGTCCTAGCCTCCACCCATGCATACTAGGCCTTGTGATCACAGTCTGCTATTACACACAACCCATCGTCAGTCTCCAATAACAGGTATTCCCCCCTCCTAGCCAGATCATTATCCACTCCTTTGTCTGTCCACTGGTTTTCTCTCTCTTTGGGCTCTATCCCCACGTATCATTTACTCTTTACCACCCCCCCCAACCTGATCTGCATAAAAACCCACATTTTCCTAACTACCATCAGTTCTGAGGAAGGGTCACCAGACCTGAAACATTAACTCTGATTTCTCTTTAGATGTTGCCAGACCTGCTGAGTTTATCCAGCAATTTCTGTTTTTGTTTTTAATTTACAGCATCCACAGTTCTTTCGGTTTTTGTTCAAGTCATAGGTTTGGGAGAAAGCATTTAGTCTGAATAGTAATTTAATACCACACAATTATAATTTTAACTACTAATTTGCACTTTCAAATGAACTTCAGCTGAAAATAAGTATTTTTATATTGTAATCTTGTTACAAAAGCAGAATAGCTCGAGTACAGAAGACAGATATTTAGCCCACTCCGTCAACTTGACTTTCTCAAAAATCTGATATGCTGTTTTATTGTTAAACCAATTTTTACCCACCTTGTATTATACCACTTTTGACTCATTTGAAGGCATAGATTACTGGTTTAACTTCTAATTGATTTAGAATAGATCCTGGCTGTATCAGATTTACTTGTTCCAACTGAGATATTCAGTGAAAAGTTTCTTTAATCTCTCTCATTTATCTTCTAAATGCTGCAATCAATAGGAAACAGCCTGAAAACGACCCAACTACTATCACATGTAATATGAATAGAATGCATATATTAGGACTTCAAAAATCAAACTATTCATGCCATGATCAACTCAAGACACCCGTGCTTGCAAATGCTGCAGCCAGCATCATATGACTTTGCTATTCATGCTCTATTATCCTACCATGGAAATGTTGTTTACAATAACAAAGACCAAAGGAGATTCTAGCTACCCCAAAAAAAATTAAAAATAGTAAAATCTTCATTTAAATGGCACAGAGGTTGGGGTGGGGAGAGAAGGTGTGTATGTTTTGTGTGCCAACTCCCCCGCCAACATGAAGTGGTCTTCCAGTGGCAGAGACAGTCAACAGCAACAAACGAAAGAATACTACAACACAATTAGCAAGCTCTACCTTTTAAAAAAATTTTTCATTCATTCACGGGATCAGAGCATCACTGGCCAGACCAGTATTTATTACCCATCCCTAATTGCCCATAGGTCAGTTAAGTGTCAACCTCAGTGCTGTGGGTCAGGAACCACAAGTGGGCAAGCCCAGTTAAAGGACATTAGTGAACCTGATGGTTTTTTTTCTGAAAACCAACAATGGATTCATGGTCATCATTAGACTCCTAATTCCAGATATTTGTTGAATTCAAATTCCACCATCTGCCATGGCAGGTTTCGAACCTGGGTCCCCAGAACATTACCAGGTCTCTGATTGACAGTCTAAAAGTCTAGGCCATCACCACCACTTACATGGAAATGAGGTGATACACATTTTTTCTTTAATCCTCTACTTTCTTCAAGTACACATAACATTGACTGAAAATGAAGTCAGTACAAGCTTGCCCAAGTTGCAAGCTAAGAAGTTGCTGATATCCATTTCTAACTTCCACACTCAAGCATTGTCACTTCAGAAATAAGGACCAATTGTGCAATATTTTAAGGTCAAGTGATTATACAATACATGCAACACAACACCAGTGATTTGGTGATTTCAGAAAAAGAAACACTCAGACATTCACTTACAGACTTTTCCATTTTTGACGGCACCAGATGAACAACCCAGAAGCAGTTGATTGCTCCTGATTCCTGTCCCTTCCATTGCTGGACACACACATTACTGCAGCACTTCTGCAGATGTAGTACTTTACTATCTGTCAATTACACAACATGCTCAGTTCAAGGCAATTACATCCCTAGGGGCAAAAGTAGACTGCACAGAAAACCTTACGATACCCAAAAAATATTAACAAGCTAATTTTAAAAATATTAATAACAGCACACGTGTGCTGCTATGCTTCGCTGACAATGCAAAATATCCTGCCGGACAAAAGCTTTGCAAACAAAAGAAGGCATTTACGGTATTAAATGAGCTTGACCTGAATGCTAAAAGTAAAACAGTTTCCGAATATGTCAAAGAAGCCATCTGATGAAAGGATTAAAACGATAGTTAACCCTTGAATGATTAATTCTAAAATTAGGGTTAAACATAACACAATGCAGCTCTATTGTCATAACTACCCAGCTTGTTTGGTGTGACAGACTCGTCTTTTCTCCATATCAGTGTGAAATATCAATACAGAGCCTATATGACATTGACAGCTAAGCAAAGTTAATGGGAAGTTAGCACTGATAACGTGCCCATTCCATTCAGGATAATAACTTATGAGAATATAGTAAGCATTTAATATTTAATTTAAAATATTTTATTTTGTTTGTGTACGATACTCAAGTTGGGTTTTAATTTTTTTATTGCATTCTGAATTTTAAAAGCATGGATTGCTCAGGGTCAATTTAAACTGAAATTTACAACTCCAGTTCAGGAATAAACGAAATCCGGAAATTAGAAAGCTAGCTTCCAGCATTTTTCAGGTCAGCTTCATACTCTTTACACATGAATTTAACTTCAACTCAGCTAAAATTCTGCGGACACTATCAAGTCTTCAGGAATATATCCAATTTGCCATATTTTATATGAGTCTAGACAATGAGCCCTGGCAGACTATTAAATAGTATACGTCAATACAAGACGTCTTGACCCAATGACCATACATGCACTTTCCAGCATGGGACTCAGGATTGTGATCAACAAGTACAATACTTATTTTAATAATAAAAGTGGTATTATTGTAAATTTTTAAACTTGGTTTTGTTCATTTATAGGATGTCCACATTATTGGAATGCCTAGCATTTTTGCCCAATCCTAAGTGACCTTGAGAAAGTGCTGGTGAACTACCTTATTGAAATGTTGTAGTCCATATGGTGTGGTACATATTAATATTGTAATAATAACTCATGAAGGAAGTGAAGGAACAAAACTGTACGCCACAGATTGCCCTAAGCTGCTAAATATGGTATTCTGCTCATCTTTAATATCCCTGCCTCCGGACTGGGAAGCCCTAGTTCAAGCCTCACCTGAGGTTTGTAAATAACATCTCTGAACAGGTTGGTTAGAAAAATGGGATAAATTAAAGAGAAATTCACACAAGTAAAAAGCAAAATATCCTGCCATTTAAAATTTAAGAATCTATGGTATATTAATATGGTATAATATTTAAACCAAAATGCATCAATTAAACCAAAATTTGGAGGCTTTATAAATTAATTATAAAATAATTATAAAATAGACCTAATGCAATGACTAAGGCTCTTGTTCAGTGTTCTGTCAGATATTGAAAGCATCATGCGCAAGCTGCAGACAAACTGCTTCCAAATGAAACAGACCATACTTTTGTTTTTGTTGCTAATTAGGCTGGCCAAAGGCCAGTCATTTGAAACTTTATCAAACAAGCTCTATCCCTTTCAAAAGGAGTAGAAGGGAAATATTAATTCACTTAGTAACTCAATCTATGCCTGAACATAAAAACTTCACATTTATCATTTGAATTTTCAAGCAAAAATAGTTTCAAATGACTGGCCTTTGGCCAGCCTAATTAACAACAAAAATAAGGTATGGTCTGTTTCATTTGGAAGCAGTTTGCCCGCAGCCTGTAGATGATGCTTTCAGGTCGAAGAGTCCCTAATTTTTAAATGAAAGGTATATTATAGCATATAGTATTTTGTAAGGGTTTTCCTCCATTTGTGCTCCAACAGTTTAAGACAAACATGAATGATCCTACATTTGCCCAACACCACCATTTTTAGTGGGTATGTTGGTGTTAACATGGTTTGACTGCCTGATGTTATTTATTAATTATGTCAGTAGCACCTTTGTAATTAAGACCATAATTAAGGCCATTCAGCCCACTGAGGCTGCTTCGCATTCAATGAGATCATGGCTAATTTTTCCTGCCTTTTTGCCATTTCCTTGATTCTCTTGCTGATTAAAAAACTGTGTATCTCAGCCTTGAATATTCTTAACGACCCAACCTACAGTACTGGCAATTTAGCTTTATTTGCTGATTGGTAGAAGCAAATGTTAAGCACTGTACAAGAAATCATATGAATCCAAGTGAAGACCATAATATCCATAACATTTCATGACTTGTCTGTGAGCTGCAAATTAAAATTAATCTAATAACCCACTGTAGATCTTGGTAGTTGTTTGTCAGGCCTTGCTGTGCCATTTCAGTCGGTTGCTGCATTTGCCCAGAAAAACAAATGACAGCTCTTCAAAAATATACGCTGATCAAATTACACACAGCTGAACTAAATAGCAGAACATGCACACTAATGTGCTCCTGCACTTTCCATCTACGCAAACAGTGCCACAACAGTTCCAACAGCGCATATTTTCAGACCTCACCCTGTTATGCATTATAATGTAACAAACCAGGCTGTGAAACAAAACTGAACACTGCCATGTTACTTTCACTTTCATTTCCAGCTCCTTAGGAGAGAGAAAAACAGATCAAATCCACACATGTAGAAAA